TCAATAAAATAATAAAATTGAAGAACTGTGGGCTATATTTCAAAAATCAAATACCAAAATTGTTTTAAATGGTGTATATTTATAAATTTTATATAACCATGATAAACCATTAATTAAATAATAAAAACGAATTTTTAAAAATCATATATATATAATTATTACAACAAAACATTTAATTAATTATAGTGGATTTGATTTGAATAAATTAATCATGTTTTAAAATTATGATATATTAATGAATGAGCTAACATAATTAGTTCTAATAAAAAGTTAATTCATCATAAACAATCAATACCTAATTATTTATAATTATTGGTAATCAACTTTTTATCCTAAGCTAGTTAACCAATTGATTAAAATTAAAATATTATTAGCGATTTTAATAAATAATAAACTTTATTTGTAAAAAGAAATTATTTTGATTGATTTATTCTAATTAAATAGTTAATCATATTAGTTTTTATAAATGTAAATTACAAAAAATATATATATATATATATATATATGGAGAGAGGTAAAAGAGATTATTCATTCTTGCTTTGGGGCTTACAAAATCACCATATTAGGTCCTGATGGAAGGGAAAGATCAAACAGGGCAGAGCATCTCACAGACCCACCAACATTTGGTTCATAATACAACACCATTCATTCATTCACCTCCAAGAAGGTTCACAAACAAATTGCTTATATTCATCATATTTGCATACTACAAAAGAATGGACAAGTAACATTGATTTCTAAGCCTCAGAATGAGAATGAAACTATTTTATTACCCCTTCCCTCCTGTGTACGTACACAAACACACAAAACAAAACTTAGTCCTTCCTTGAGTAGTTATCAATTGGAAGGAATTTGGCATATCGCTCCGCCTTTGCTCCTGATTTGTGTTCATAATATTCGACCACGGCAGCGCCTGCTAGAGCAGCCAGGGTCAAAGCCTGTGCGTGCAACCTGATAGCCATTTTCAACAACCCAACACCATCAACATCAGACCTCATACACAAGAACATGCAGCCTATATATAAGCCTTTTTGAATGCGACCGAGAAAAAGTGTCGAAGGTAAAACATAAAACATTTGGTTTAGATCCAATTTTGGTCCTCAAACTTCTGTTAAGTTTGTCATTTTGATGAACTTTTATCGGCTTTCAAATTTTGATCATCCATGTTTGAAATCTCGATAGTAATTGTCAAACTTCCACTAAATTCCGTGCAAATTTTGATCAGAGATGATATATAGATAATGAAACATCAACTTAAGCGTAGTATAACCCTTGAGCAAGATGTCAAAATTATTGAACACAAAGAAAGAAAGAAAGGAAGTATATAGATGGATGGATAATTAGACATGACATTTTAAAAACTGAATAGACCAAAGATGATTAGTAACATATGATCATATTCCCAAATATGATGAAAATAAATGTTCAAAGATGGCCAGAGATCAGCCTAAGGGACAATGAATCCTTAAAAAAATGCCCTCTAATCTAAGCTGATGGTATACGTAGAATAGTGACAATTTACCAAGAAATCTTGTGTAGGCCATTCCAATTAGAGGCTATGAGCTGTACATTGGCTAATTCAGGGAATGATCATGGGTTTATAAGTAAGGAATAGATCTTCATTGGTCTGAGGCCTTTTGGGGAAGTACAAAGCAAAGCTTATGGATAAAGTGGACAATATCAATGCGAGAGTTTGTAATTCCTAACAGGAAGGTCACAAGAGCACAGACGCTAAGAATGTTTTGGCGTTCATCAGGAAAACGAAGCACTCAATCATAGGACAGTTTTTTCAGAGTCTAGAACGAAAATTTAAGGAAAACATGATCATGCAGCGCCGTTTTTTCTTTTGCTTTTATATAAGAGAGATTAAAGTTGTTCTACTAACAAATTCATGGACTTAATAATCAAGAACACAACAAAATTAAGCTTTCCAAGCCATCCAAAACATCGTTTCAAACAAATTTAGGGGAAAATAATCTCTGTTTTATCAGGATTAACTCCAGAACATCCTCAAGATTTCAAAACTCCAGCCAGATCCCCAAAAGAGGGATGATTTTTACAGACTTCCATCCAATAAGGTTAATCCACAGATTCATTCCAGAATAAAATCTTCATAAATAGGCAGCACTAGAGCAAAAGCCAAGATCCAGGATTAAGGGGAAAAAAAACACAAAAAGCCAGAAACGCACCTAGCATGGATGATCTTCACGCTGGTCTTCATATTAGGTTGAGACCAATTGTAGGCAATAGAACCCGCAATCCCGCTAAGCCACAGAGATCCTTCACCCCAAACAACAACAACAACAACATGCAATCAGAACACAAAATCGAAAGATAACAAGCAATCGGAAATCAGGAAAATAAAATAGACAAGAGGATTGAAAACGTAGATTTACCGACGGTACGAAGCTTGTGCTCAGAAACCCACTCCCTGAGAGATTCGAGTTTGCCCTTGGATTCCGCCATGGATAACAGGAACAGAGATCGGCAAAGGAAGAGGGAGAGAAAGAGGAGAGAAAGAGGAGAGAAAATGCAGCAGAGTTTACGGTTATGGGGAAATGGCAATTTTCACATCGGGAAATTTATAGGAGAAAGGAAGAAGAGGCGAAATTGTGGAACGCCCCAAATTCTGTGGGCGGTAGGCAGGGGGACGAAAACCTCGTAGCTCAACGTATACAAAAAAAATTTAAAAATAAATAAATAAATAAATAAATAAAATAGTCCTTTTTTTTTCTTTTTTGAAAAGCTATTAAATAATGTTATTTTAAAATGCAACCAACAAAATATTTTGTGTCTTTGTATTGGCTACATTCAATGTTCTGCCCTTAATAATCTTGGGGAATAAATTATAAAAAGTTCAAACTCTTACTACTAATCCGATCAACCCAAATATAGTGTTACAATCAAACTTATTTTTCATATTAATATAAAACAAATAAAAAATTTAAATCATGGAGAAGAAAAAAAAAAGACAACCCGACAACCCAACAAGAATAGAGAGTTGGGTTAAGTTGGGTTCTGAACTCTATTTAGATGGGTCGAGTCACCAACTCAAAAAAATTCTCTATTGGATTATGAAAGTCCCACATCGGCTAATTTAAGGAATGATCATGGGTTTATAAGTGAGGAATACTAACTCCATTGGTACGAGGCCTTTTGGGGAAACCCAAAGTGAAGCCATGAGAGCTTATCCTCAAAGTGGACAATATCATACCATTGTGGAGAGTGTGTTCGTTCGTCTAACATGGTATCAGAGCCATGCCCTAAATTTAGTCGTGCCAAGCCTCCTCGAAGGCAGTAAAAAATGAATGACCATTGTAGAGAGTCGTGTTCGTCTAACATTCTCTAACTCAACCGTGTATACCCATAAGAATTAGATTATGGTAATTTTATTTTGGAAGGTGGAAATTGGAACTGATATATATTCTAGAGGAAAGTCGAATATTTTAAGGAGACATCTCGTGTCTTAAAATCTTTTAAGAAAGTTTGAAAGAGAATAATATTTGCTAGCGGTGAGTTTAGGTTGTTACATTATTTTGAATAAATTCGAGGAGTGTCACTTATTAAGTGAGGCAGAAATTATTTTTTAGTAAGATCCTAGACGGGTAAACATAGAATCCCGGCACCAACGTTCAACTTGTTCGGGCTAAATTAATCCAACACTAAGGTTAATTATACATTTTTACACAAGTAATAATATTGAGCTTGTATTTTAAAAGAAGGTGCATTTGACTTTATTCAAACGGAACATGTTGTACATAGTTGACCTCTTGATTTGTTCAACGCCCACACATTGAAAATGCTTTATTTTATTTATTTTCCATAAATTATAATTCGGCGATTATTATTAATTTATAATTAGATAATAAATTTAAATTATTATCATTATTATTACTTAATCAATTATTTTATATTATATTACAAGGTTGCTTTCGTATTGGAAAAAAAGTAAAATATTACATTTGAAATTTACTTACTTTTTAATATTTTAAATGATCGATTATTTTAAAGTCAACGCATTTTACTCCTTCAATGCAATTAACCAATTTCTTATATTAGATGGATTAATAATGATGCATGCATAAAGTATACATATATATTTACATCCCTAGTTTATTCTAATTTTGTAAAATGTATTAATGATGCATGCATAAATGACATAGAGGATAACGGTAACAATCCAAAGATTGAAGATGGAAGAATAAAGCTCGTTTGTTCTTAAGTGGACTCTAAATCTCATTAGTAAACTGTTGTTACGGATATCTAGTACTAAATTATAGTTTACCATATATATCATATTTGATATTTTATTAAAATCTTCTCGCTTATTACTATTTTCATATGCTTGTAATTTATTTTATTATAAATAGAGAATTTCACATACCTCTAACTGGATTAAACAAACATTCTCATGGTATCATGGTGATGAATATAATAAGGATTGTTAAATCAACATCCGAAATTTTGAAGGGCTGATTTTGCCATAGAGGAAATTTTGATATTTAAGAACATCAAGATGGGTGCTCTGATACCATGTTAAAAATGAAAAATAGAATTGGGATCAAGTCCAATTTTCATCGATATTCCTCATGTTTAAATAGGATACGAGCTATCCACTAATACCTAAAAACAAAGAAAATATAAACTAACTAAATGTTGATAATAAAATAAAATATACTACTAGTCAAATATCAAATATCTAAAATATATTCCATAACTAATATTTTTTAAATATTATATCTTAATACTCAGTTAGAGAGTGTATGTCAATCACGTCTAATTTGTCTTTTATGAGGGTAGGTCAATAATACCCAACTTATCTTTACGAGTGTAGGTTATTAACACCTAACTTATCTTTACGAGTGTAGGTCAATAGCACTCAACTTGTCCTTAATAAGAGAGTGTAGGTCAATAACGCTATTGTCTTACCAACAGTGAAAATATCTCTTGAGGAACCCTATTTAATTTAAATAATTTAAATCGCTTTTTTTTAACACTCCATCTATGTTCTTTCCTGTTAGATTGAAGCTTCAGATCATGTAAATCGCGCTCTCATCATCAGTTCTTTCATTTCTCCGCTTCGGATTGGTAAGATTCTAAGTTCTTATTTTAAGTTCCTTTCTTTCAGATCCGTTCTTCTTTTATTTTTCATAATCAATACTCACTTCCTCGTGTTTTCTAATCTGACATTCATCATTTGGCCACCCTCAGCCTGTTGGGGTTTAGTTTGGTTCTGTGATTTTCTACTGAAGCAACTACAATCTTCGAATTGCGTTAGTTGAAGAATAGAAACTTTGATGTTTATGTTATATCGGTATAGCCAATTTACACGCTGTATTGCGATCTGATTCTGTTTCATTGTAATGTTGCCTCAATCTGTGAGAACAGGAGTAGCATAGAGATCATGAACGAAGAGCAACGCGATCTCCTTCTTGGCTCATCTGATCGCGTCCCACCTCCTCAAGGTTGCGTTTCCCCAATTTTACCATCTTCTTTTACAGCCGATACTGCTGTTCATAGCTTATAATTCTTGTTTTTGTGTCTGTTATGCTGTTAGGAGTTAGGCTATCATATGGAACCGCAGGTTTTAGGGAGGATGCATCGGTACTTCGTTCGATGTTGTATAGGATGGGAATTTTGGCGGCTTTGAGAGCTTTGAAAACCAATGCCGTGATCGGGTCGATGATCACGGCCTCTCACAACAAAGAATCAGATAATGGGGTAAAAATTGCGGACTCGAATGGTGGGATGCTCAACCAAGAGTGGCAGCCCTTTGCCGAAGCCCTCGCAAATGCGTCCTCCTCGCACGATCTCTTTCAAGTATGACTATCGATTACAATGTCTTGGTCGTCTTAGTTTATTCTTATTTGGTTAATGATTGTGAGATCCCATACCGGTTGGAGAGGGGAACGAAACATTCCTTATAAGGGTATGGAAACCTCTCCATAGTAGATGTGTTTTAAAATGGTGAGGTTGAGGGCGATACGTAACGGGACAAAATAGGTCATATCTGCTAGCGGTGGCTTGGGTTGTTATGATTCATGAGGGTGAAATTGGGACGTGGAGGAAGAGGGTTGGGGAGGAGTTGTTTCACTAGAAAGTTGATTTTTGTTTTTCTATAATTGTTAATTTATTTAGAGAGTGATTGTAATAGCTCAAGCTTACCGTTAGTAGATATTGTCCTCTTTGGGCTTTTCCTTTCGAGCTTCCACTCAAGGTTTTTAAAACGCGTATGGTCTTTCCCTTTCGGGTTTTCCCTCAAGGTTTCTAAAACATGTCTGCTAGGGACCTTGTAAAGAATGCTTCGATCCCGCTCTAACCGATGTGGGATCTCGCATATATTTTTCTGAATGAAACCTAAGATATGCTATGTAATTAAATTGATAAACAGTTAATCAATGGATTGGCGGAGAAGGAAAATATCTTATTAGATGGATCAAAATCAGCTCAAATTCTGGTGGCAAGAGATACGAGGCCAAGTGGAGAAGCCCTACTTGATGCTGCAAAACATGTATTTGCCCTTCATTTGAAATAGTAGTTCAATAGTAGGCCAAGTGGTTGACATAATGTTCATTTCTTTTCACTTGAACTGTTAAACTTTATTGAAGGGAATTGGCTCAATCATTGGGGCCGTAGCTCAAGATATGGGAATTTTGACGACTCCTCAATTACATTGGATGGTTCATGTTCGAAATCGAGGCTTGAAAGCTTCAGGCGAACTTGATTACTTCAATAAGCCTTCAGGCCCATTCACGTTGTTTTATTTTGTTTACTTATCTTAGAAAATGACTTATTTGGAATACTTCGTGAAAGGACTTTTATGTTTGATAGGTGCTCGTTGAATTTGAGCCCAAATAACAGTGAGCTGAGTGGTTGGGATCACAAATTGGTTGTTGATGGAGCTAATGGTGTCGGTGGACAGAAGTTAAAACTTTTGAAGGAAAGCTTGAATGGCTTGGCTATTGAGATTCGTAGTTCAGGAAATGGAGAAGGTGTACTCAATGAAGGAGTAGGTGCTGATTTTGTTCAGAAAGAGAAGATTGTTCCACGAAACTTTGGTTCGCTAGATGTTGGGATCAGGTTTGACATTGCTGCATTGTTGATTAATCAAGTTTATTTTCGTTGCGGAAAATATCTTATGATGATATTACTCACACGTGCCAGCTTATCACATAAGAAATATCTTGATCTTTGACTACAAGGGAATAATCTTAGATTTTGTAATTAATCAAATGGTGAACTATGGCAGCCTGGTAGGTGCAGCAATACCCTTTCCCCTCCATATAAGATAGTGTATTACATGTTATGTAATGTCAGTCACACTCCACATTATTGACATCTTGCTCTTTAGCATTGTGTTGTGTTATACATCATTGTAACAGCCCAAGCCCAAACCCACTGCTAACAGATATTGTCCTCTTCGGGCTTTCTCTCAAGGTTTTAAAATGCGTCTGCTAGGGAGAGGTTTCCACACCCTTATAAAAAATGCTTCTTTCTCCTCTCCAACCAACGTGGGATCTCATAATCCACCCTCCTTGGGGGCCCGACTATGAAGTCCCACAACAATTTGAGAGAGATACGAGTGCTAGCGAGGACGCTGGGCTCTAAAGGGGGGTGAACTGCGAGATCCCATGTCGATTGGATAGGGGAACGAGTGTCAGCGAGGACGCTAGGCCCTGTTTTGGGGAGTGGATTGTGAGATTCCACATCGGTTGGAAAGGGGAACAAAACATTCTTTATAAGGGTGTGGAAACTTCTCCTAGCAGACGCGTTTTAAAACTTTGAGGGGAAGCTCAGAAGGAAAAGCCCAAAGAAGATAATATCTGCTAGCGTTGGGCTTGGGCTTGGGTTGTTACAATCATTGTCATTGATCTTTGTGAAAGAGATCCATTTTTGGTTGGAGAAAGTCTTTTAAATTAGGGGAACCATTTTTTATTGATATATCTTTTATGATTGAGAATGATAAAATGTTTTCTTAATCGGAGGTAGTATTGAATGCTTGGATGCTTCTAGCTTTAAGGTGTGCTAGTTTCGATGGAGATGCTGACCGACTCGTATATTTTACCGTGCCATCGGGAATTACCAATAAGATCAATCTTGTTGATGGGGACAAAATATTATCTTTATTTGCCATATTCATCAAGGAACAGTTTACGATTGTGGCAGCAAGGAGTGAAGCCACCAAAATTGATTTTCAGCTCTGCCTTGGTGTTGTCCAAACTGCTTATGCGAATGGATCCTCGACTCGGTATCTTAAAGAGTTGGAACTGGAAGTAGTATTCACTCCAACCGGAGTAAAGTACTTGCATGAGAAAGCTGCTGAATTTGATATTGGCATCCATTTTGAAGCAAATTGTCATGGGACTGTCTTGTTCTCAGATTACTGCATTTCAATGTTATATCCCATTCATTTGGAGCTCTCCAATGTATCTAATGGTAATATTTATGTGGGAAAGAGATGGCCCTCTCGTGAAGTTATTACAGTTTTCGCGTGTAGGAGTTAATTTATTGTATGTTTCAGGTTCGGAATCGGAAAAGGCAGCCTTCAGATTACTGGCAGTCAGCAAATTGATCAATCAAGCTGTGGGAGATGCCCTGAGTGGCTTGCTCCTAGTTGAGGCTATTCTACAGCACAAACATTGGTCGATATGTGACTGGAATGAGCTCTATCGGGACCTACCGAGTAGGCAGCTCAAGGTTTGCTTGTCTGTTTCCTCACTATGAAGCAAGTTTATATTGTTCTCTAGTTTTTATTTTTGAGAGGAAAGAAGCAAAGCTATTGTTTGTGGGACAAGTTAGAGGGAAAATAAATGTAATTTACAGTTCTTGTTCATTTTGCTATTGTTTGTGGCAATAACACTATCAATTCAATTACTGTAGTAGGCCAGATTGTAAGACTGTGGTAGCATGCATGTTCTTTGTGGCTTCCGTACGTGTGAGATTCCATATCGATTGAGGAGGAGAACGGAACATTTTTTACAAGGGTGTGGAAACCTCTTCCTAGCAGACGTGTTTTAAAATACTTGAGGGGAAGCCCGAAAGGGAAAGCCCAAAGAGGACCATGTCTGTTAGCGGTGGGTTTGGGCCGTTACAAATGGTATCAACGCTAGACATTGGGCGATATGCCAGCGAGGAGGTTGAGCCCCGAAGGGGGGTGGACATGAGGTGGTGTGCCAACAAGGACACTAGGCCTCGAAAAGGGTGGATTGGGGGGTCCCACATCGATTGGGGAAGGGAACGAGTGCCAGCGAGGAGGTTGAGCCCCGAAGGGGGTGGACACGAGGCGGTGTGCCAGTAAGGATGCTGAGCCCTAAAAGGGGTGGATTGGAGAGTCCCACATCGATTGGAGAAGAGAACAAGTGCCAGCGAGGATGCTGGGCCTTGAAGGGGGGTGGATTGTAAAATCCCACACCGGTTGGGGAAGAGAACGAAACATATTCTTTATAATAGTGTGGAAACACCTAACAAATGTGTTTTAAAAATCTTGAGAGGAAGCCCGAATGGGAAAGCCCAAAGAGGACAATATCTGCTAGCAGTAGACTTGGACCGTTGCAGTATGCAACTTTTTGAAGAAGAAAGTCGTTGATAGAACAGCGGTTGAAACAACTAATGCAGAACTGAGGTTGTAAAGCCACCTGGGTTACAAGAAGCAATCAATGTGGAAACAGGTAACGACAACTCTGAAATCTATATTTGCTTAACTTAATAAGTTGTATGTTTCATATTTTTCAGTAAGATCTGTTTCTTGTACTTCATTTCAGCTCAACTAGATTGATTGTTTCCCTTAGATATGCGATCCTTTTCTCCGTTCAGATTACGACATCTGATATCCCTCTGATCTCTATATTCTCGTTATCTTTCATTTTCTGTTGCAGCAAAATATCCTCAAGGACGTTGTTTCATAAGGCCATCAGGAACCGAGGACGTTATTCGTGTCTATGCAGAGGCATCCACACAGGAAGCAGCAGATAATCTTGCAAACTCGGTAGCAAAACTAGTGGACCAATTCCTTGGGGTTGGCAGCTCGAAACAAGCAGATTAAGGAACGGCCAAGGTACACATAATGGTTCGACATAAACTTAAATCTTTATACACCTGAGTCGATAACATTAGCTTCTCGTTCTCGTTTTTTTTATACTTCACAACCTCAAGCTTAACATAATGTTGCCGGTAGTGATTCTTTAACATTGGTCTGAAATTGAGAAAATTATATGTATCTGCATGATTTTGTTCTTGGGAGCTGTTTAGAAAAGTTTTTGGGATGATTTATACTTCAATCTATAGATAATACTCATGATTCTGTAGGGAATAACCATACATGTAGAAAGTTTATAAATGTTTCTGTTCTTTCTGGTCGCCATCTTCTTCTTGTTCGTCCTCAAGGAGGGAGGTGGTTCGTCGTCTCCCTCGTGTTCATGACCATAAGACTTATCATGTTATCAAACTGCATTGATATCAGTAGCACTCTGTAAGGTTGCCTTGGCTTTAGACTCATGAAGATAATTATGATAAACATAGGAAACAAATCCCCAAAGAGCCAAAACCAAAGCCATGGCCTTCATCCCATTCATCTTGTCATGGAAAAACATCACTGCTAGAATTGGCACAACAGGCAAAGCCAATGTGCTAATCACATTAGAGAATAACGAAGACACCTCAAAAATCAACCCCAACAAACCAATGGAGGAGACCTGCCAAGCCACTGCAGTCCAAACCAAAGTCATCACATAAGAAACTCTCCCTTCTCCATATCCCCTCATCTCATCTCCCAAACCTCTCCATTCACCACTTCCGAAAAGACCGACCACACAACCGCAGCTTGCTACGAATGAAGGATATATCTGCATATCCAACACCGTGGCAAATGTTTCTCCCTTGAAAACCTTCTCAAAACACACCTGGAGAAGACAAAGATACAAAGAATAAGCCGCAGATGCACCGAGTGTGCAAATGAACCCGATTATGTACTTCCCTTTACTCGAATGAGTCGTGGGATCGGACTCGGAGTTGAGAGCTAGAAGGGAAGCTGAGACAGTGAGAAGGACGAGAGAGTTGAGTATATAAGGAGAGAGCTTTTGAGCATTGAGGAAGAAGCTGAAAAGTGCATTGAAAGCCAATTGGGTTGCACAAAGAAGTGAGTAAGTAGAGACAGGAAGATAGAGAAGGCCATAAGAATACATCAAATTGTCTCCTATCAAAAGAACACCAAAAGCAAAGCAAATGAAGGCAAATGTGAGGAAATTTGGCTGTTTGGGGGAAGATTTGGTGGGTTGGGTGAAAAAACAAAGGAGGGGAAGGAGAATTGGGAAGCCGGCAGATTGAACCAATGTAGCCATCCATTTGCTATTCCCTCTTTTGTCATAATAGAGTCTTCCCAAGAGAGTTGCAGCCGATTGGCCACACACGAGAAAAAGGGCATAGAACCCAATGCGAATCCACCGCGTGTATCGTTCTAGCTTTCGGATTTTGTTTGAATTCTGGTCTCTATGGTTACCTGATCAAAATCCACGAGCTCAAAATATCATTACGTTCCTATCTTCGTCCTATAAAAAGTGAAAAATATTGTACCTGTAGTGTGAAGTTGAACTTCTTCGGTCACCTCCATGAGGATTTTGAGGCTTTAGGACGAACAAAGGAATCGGATTTTCCTTGGAAAAGTGAAGGAGAACGAAATTTATAAACTTGGGAACCGACAAGAACTTCTTGGAAGAGGATTGGTTTGACTGAAATTGCAGACATGAAACCAAAAGTCAAACTTTGAAGTGCTTTTATTCGCTGTGGGATAGAAAGTCAACTAGACAAGTCTGAAAGTTTGAAAGATCTTTTTGAGTTGGCCAAGTTTTTGAAACTCTCATGAAATGATCCTATTTGATTTATATCACTGGGAGTTGTCTATTCCAATAAATACCTTTTTATGACTTCCTCTCGTGTTAAGTAGTTATTTATTATTTTATTATTATTATTTGAAACTCTCATTGTCAATTTACTCGAGTGCTAGAAGATATGACTAATTGTCAATTCTTCGTACCCAGGTTATATGGTATCAATGTCGTTATTTTTCCTTATTACTTGTTAGTTTATAACATTGTTTTCTCAAATTGATTTCCAAACGTTTTTTAAAACTTTTTCTGACCCTGCTTTTTAAAGTCGTTTGTCAAGAGTGATGCTAATGACTTAAGCATAGGTCATTTGAACTAATAGAGACCAAAGTTTTAGTTTGCTAACTTACTCTAGAGTGAGCGCAAGTGTTCCACAGTCACACTACGAATCTCAAAAGAGTGCAATTATGAAACATACTAGGTGCCTCGAGTAAAAATGGTCAAAGACCAAGTATGTGTCATCGAGGGTTTTTGGTAAAGATGTCAAGGGCGTGAAGCACAATTTGAGGCCTCAAATAGGTCAAGAACCAAATGTTGAGCACCATATAGAATATTTAAACCCTAGAAAAAAATGGTTAGGTCGATGTATCTGGAATGAATCAGTTGGTGAATGTGAGTGCATGTCATGAATATGTGCATGCATTCAACGATCATGCTATATGTATTACTTTCATGTTATGCATGACTAGCTCGTTGTGAAAAGCATAATTATTAATAAAAATATGATGTAATTACAGCAGTAAAATAAAAATTTGACTTAGTTGTAATTATAAATAACTTGTAAATGATGAACATAGCACGTCTATAAATCTAAGTTTATAGTAAAGTGACCTATATAATTAATGAATGAAAATTGATTAATTAAAAAGTTCAATTAATTGGTACTTAGTTTAAGAATGGATAGTTTAACAAGACCTCCGGATCATGACGGTAACACTAAAAAAAATTAATTTAGTTAATAGAAAAATATTTAATATATTAAATATAAATTAAAAAATGTATTTAATTTGAAGGGTTAATATTAAATATTAATATAAAAGTGAAAAAATATATTTAGTGTACTGATACATTAAATATTAAAAAAAGTAACATATATTATATATGTTAAATAAAAAAAAATATTGAAGTTAATGAGATATATTTTATGTTATTTAAATATAGGTTAAATAAAATATTGTATTTTAATATATTAGACAAAAATTAAAGTAAATTTGAATATTTTAAAAGCGGACCCAACTTTAATTACAAACAACTCGTGAATGATTGACTTGTTTGAAATGATTATATCAGTGACACAACTATATAAGATGTATCCACGTATAATATCCATCTCTTCACTAAAAAATGAAACTTTTTCTCTAGATGTTTCTCGAATCCCATAAACTTTGACCTTGTCACGTCTCTTTGATCTTGTTGTGTTTGAGTCATAGCTAGAATTTTTTTTGGTAGAAATATAGGAGATTCAACCTTGAACGTACTGAAAGATTAAAATTCCGCCAAAACGACTGTTTAATTATTATTATTATTATTATTATTGTTTCAGATAATTAAAAGAATTCTAATTTTGTTTTTGGATATTATATCATTAATTTATTAATAATAAATTAAAATAAAAGTCATGATTATTATTTTTAATTAAACAAATATTTAACTTTTAAAGTATTTAAAAAGTTTAAAAATAAAAATGGAACATATATCTATTTTTTCGTGCAATTGTTATTAATTATTTACTTTTTATACAATTTTAATAAGTAAACACGTGGCGATATGAAATTACGTTTTGAACAGATAGGCATGTTCTAGACGGAAGGGTAAAAGAGTAAAGAAGCCCTAAAATGAAAGCATGGTGCTGAAAGCAGAGGATTATAGCCCATACTTCATGTTGCATTATAAAAGGAAAACCTGGCTGTGGCTTCGCACTTTCGATCTTTCCAGAACTTCATAAATCTTCGAGGATCTGCTTCTCCTTTTTCTCTCTAGCCCTAAAATCACCAGGTATAGATTTCTCTCTTCTAATTTTCATTTTCTTTTCGAATTTTTGATTTTGATTCTTGATTGAAGAAAGAACAAGAAAGAAAGCAAAAAGATCTCGTAATTTCGCGTGTTGATTTTCTTTTTCATTTCGATTTTGTGTTAATTTTGATAGCCATGGTGATGATTGATGACTATGGTTATGGCTCAATAGGTTATTCTCCTCCATCCTCCTTTTAATCTATGCGATGTTGTTTCATTTTATGATGCAATTTTTATTAACATTTATTCTTATCCTTTTCAAGATTTTGTTTTTATTGTACACGAGAAACGAGACAATGAGCAGCAGAAATAGCCGCACCATCTATGTTGGTAACCTTCCTGGAGATATTCGTTTGAGAGAAGTAGAAGATCTGTTCTACAAGGTTTGATTTCCTCAAATAATTATCTTTATATAATCCTACTTGTTTGGGTGAAATTTTAGTGCTTAATAGTTTATTGAGATTTTTTTTTTTTTTTTTTTTTTAATGTTTTGCTCAGCTTTTCCCG